GCGTGCGCTCTCCCCTACGGGGCGCCTTGGCCGCGCCTGCGCAGAAGGTGCGGCGGGGTGAGGGAGCCTGGCGCGCCTCGGGCCGTGACAGCGCTGGAGGGATGGGCTGGCGGGGCTGCGGGCCTCTCTCCTCCGCGCTGCGGCCCGTGCCTGCTTTCCCATCGTCTCCCTGTGCTGAGCCGCCAGGTCACCTCTGGCAGGCAGCAGCTCGGCCCCCACAGGTGCTCACATGTGGCCTGTGGATGCAGCAGGAGGGACGGCCAGCACCCGGAAAGCACCAGAGGTGTGTGGGAGCCCCAGTGCTTTCAGGCACTGTCAGCTCCACTCTCGGGAAGGCACGGGAGCAGAGCACAGTGGCTTGGAATGTGTTTTGCTTCTTCGGGATGCTTGTGCACCAAAGCATCAGGTCTCACAGCTACAGAAACAGATCCCATCACAGCCTTCACCTGCAGGTGAGGAAGCCCACAGCAAAGTGATATGAAATACCCAGGTGTGTCATGCTGGCCTGGCAATTCAGGCTGGTCTGGAATTAGATTCCTGAGGGTTTTTTTAATCCAGAGATGTGCCTATATATGGCTCAGGAAGGGCCTTGACCTCACACACATTAGCTGTGCCTGCACCATCCACAGCCCAAATCCACAGTTTCAAACAGCACTCTTACGTAACGCACAAACAGCCTGAGTAATTTTGCTATCGGTTGCACAAATAATGACTAGGCAAACTGCAAGACTACAATTTCTGAGGTGATCGCCCCTTCTAGGTGGAGACCTGCCATAAGAAGAGTGTTGGTTTTCTCTTTGATTATTTTTCTACAAAAAGAACTCTTGAGAGCAAACAGTGCAGTGTGTTGATGTAGAATACATAAATTACTTAGGACTTGCCAGATATTAAGGCTTTTCAAGACAAGTAAAAACAATAACAAAAGGCACTGTGCTAAGGTATTGCATCTATCTTAAAAGTAATTTTAGTTTAGCATAGATTCAAACCAAAATATTGACATTATTTAATTAAGTTGATTTTTAAAATTTTAACCGTAAGTTTACAATTCGTTGACACAAGTATCTCATTAAAATGCATTTGTTTTTCACAGAAGAACAGAGACCCTTATGGTCAAAGGAAAGATGACACAGAAATCAAGGACAGTTAAAAGGACTGTTGAAAATACCAATCCATAATGCTTTTGATAATTACAATCTAATCAGTTGTTCTAAAGATGTCTAAAGAGTAGGATGCACCTGCTTTGAGGATCTTTTTGGTAGGACCCAAGGACAAGTAACAGATGGAAATCAGTGGGACATCCTGACTGCAAACTATCAGTGACATTGTGAGGGTGTTTGTGCACCAGAACAGGTTGCCCAGGGTGGTTGTTGAGTCCGACACACCTGGACAGTGCCCTAAGCAACCTGCTCTACTGGACTGTGCTTTGAGCATAGGGCTTGGACTAGCTGAAATCCAGAAGTGCCTTCCAGCTACAACTGTTCTGTGATCTGTGAATGTTTCTTAGATAATGACAATTTTTAGCAGTATCGCTTTCTCCCTTAACATTGACTTGAAAGCTATTGACCCTTTTCTCTGAATTTATACAATAGGGTTTGGTTAACAGCAATACTTTTTAAGGCAGTTGTCTCAAATCAATTCTAATTTCCTATTTCTTTTGCAGAGAATATTGTGGTGTGGTTCTACAGTTATATTTGTCCAATTTGTATGCAATTCATCTGGAAACAAACCAATCCAGTATGGCTAAAATAGCATGTCTGGGTTGAAGATTTTTTTTTAGCACGTAAAATTGGATCTTCTAAGTACTTCTGATCAAATATAGCTAATGTCTCTGGTTTTAATTATAAACCTTCCTTAATCTCAACCTTCAAAAAAGTATTCTAGCCTTCAAATCTTACCCCTGTCAAGTCCCACACATCCCAAAATCCACATCCAAGATGACCTCCATCTCACATTCACTCTGCAACTCACGCATTTAAAACACCACACACTATAGCTCGTTTTGCATTATTCTCAAATATATGTTGTAGCTGAGGAGCAAGAGAAAGGCTGGAGTGTTACCAGACATGAGCATGT